CAGACCGCCCACCATCTCTGCCAACAGCAGCAGACACCGTCGCCACCCTCACCCAACTCACACACGGATGCTGGGAAGTCCAAACCCAGAGCCTCACCAACAGTGGAACCCCCAGCAGCTCCTCCACAGGCCTACCACCCCTCCGGGTCCTTCGCGAAGGCATGGCAGGCCCCCTCCACAAAGCCCCAGTCTTCTCCCGGGGGATCAAGGCCAAATTCGCCCCCATGGGCATTCCCGACAACTGGGTGCTCATAGTGACCGAGACGCCGCCGCTTGACAACTTTCAACCTAACAGCATCCTCCTGGTGGTTGGAGACCAGTTCCGTATATACAACACGGACAGGGGTTGGGTGATGACAGTCGAAAGACTAGTCACATCGGCCGCCCGGGAAAGCCGCCTCCCCACAACCAACACCAACACACCACCCAACAAACCTGCCACCACCGACCCCACACAAGACAAGCCACAAAAACCGGACAAACATGTCCGCTTTGCAGAGACACCAACCAACAACTCCCACACCACACCCACCACACCCCCACAAGAGGCGGCCACAAGCTCCCGTGACCCACCGGGGGAACCACAGCAAACCAACGCGCAAAGACCCCGCCGGTGGAACACAGACCACCCCCTCCTGGACGGCAGACCTCTACGACGCGGCCAGCGAAGCAAGGGGAAACCCAGCCCCGAGCGCCACAGCAACAACAACCCAGAGCCACACACTCAACCACCAGTGCAGACACCGGCAGATCCCTTCGCAGGAGTCCGAGACGGCAGACAAATCGGGCGCAAGCGACAACCACCACCACCACCAAACACGACCTCCACAACCACCGCAACCTCCACCACCACAACAACAACAGACATAGTACAAGAAAGCACCACCTCCAACACCGACAAAGCAGCCAGCACGAACACAGCCAACGACCACCTGTCCATGATGCAGCGATACCTCCAGCCAAATCCGCGCTCGACACCAGACCCCCCCAACGCACAAGCGGGGGTGCATATCCCCGCAAACACTCAGCCAGACAGTGCAGAAGACCCCGACGGCCAACTCCCCCCCAACGACCCCCCACCGCTGCAAGCCGCCCCACCGCCCACACACGGGACCACAACAAACCGTGTGGAACACCAGCTCCTCCGCATACACCACCTTGCGAACCAAATACCCGGGGGAAGCATGATCGCCACCCTAGCAGAGTGCGCCCTCGCAGACCTCCTCGTCGACAGCCAAACAGAGGCACAAGTGCTGCAACACCTCGAACTCGAACAAAGCGCGAACAACAACACCGGCGAAGCAACACGACCCCAACAAGCACCCCACAAAAGGCAAAAAACAGAGCTGCAGCCGCAGCCGCCCACAGCAGCAGCAAGAGCACTCCAACACCTACTACTGACAGCACAGCGCAGGTTGGTCTCGGCCGAGGGGGAGCATATCTTCGTATCATACTACGATATACAACATGACGTCGACACCATCATTGCATGGCTGAACCTCCTGAGCAATGGGGGGAGCACCTCCTCAGCATCGAGCTCCTCCTCTCCCAAACCAGTGGACGCAGCTGTTATCGGACGAATCGTCCGCGAGCTGGGAAGAGCGCTCCAAGGCATTCAGAGGGGGAACACCGCCGAGCACTGGGTGCTCCTCGCCGAAGTTGTGATGTTTCTTCAAGCCTGGGAGAAGGGGGAAACCGTCGCTCACCCCGCCGATGTAATAGCATCCAACCGCGGGGTGCTCACCTCGCATCTGGCTCGAGAAAGACGACAGCAGAGAGCGCGGGGGATGGTTCATGAACTTCAAGCACTGGGGGAACGCCTCAACGACTGGCCCGCAGACGAGCTCAACAGCATCCACTCTTGCAGACCTTGGAACAGGTCGAGGATGCCCTCCAACCTGGGGGGAGTGCAGCCCCGCTTCAGAACCTGAGGGGGGAAGATGCCGTGGCCCCGCTGAGCTCGGGGGAATGGTGGCTACATGATCGACACCACGGACTGGGCAATGCACCGGGGAGTGACAACCGGAGCCCCACGGATGCAGTCAACAGCGAAGAGGGCGACGGGGAAAGCCTCGCCTCGCACCGCCGCCGACGAGCCCACGCAGCATTCGCTGATGAGTGAGCCGCAGTGAGCATAGAGGCAGCCCTCTCCTCACCGGGGGGAAAACTAATTATAGTCCAGCCTTTGTCTTACTCCAACGTACTACTCAGTCTTCTTGGTACCTGCTTCCGTCGTATATACAAAGAGCCGGGGGAAGAGTTCGAAAAAGACAAGGAGCCCAGCAACAACTTCTTACATATGGTACTCCTCTAGGGGTTCGAGCATCGCTGTGCCATTGCTTGTCAAATACACAACGGGCGATCCTTGTCAAGGGAAAAGTGTGTAAGCATCCCTCCTGCTCCGCGCAAACGTGGTTAATACACATGGTAGCCCCGTAGGGAAGCTAGTAGTGCCGTGCCATTGCTTGTTTACCAACAGCTGCGAGCAGGGGGGAAACCAATGCGTACAGCCCACAGGCCCAGGGTCAAATGATGTGATTATCTCCGGACATGTTACAAATGACTGTACCTTAATCTTGTTGTTCAGTTCTGTCCAAGCCTGGGCCGGGGGAACATACACAAGGGGGAAGAAAAGCCCCTGCTCAAAGCGCTAAGGGAAGCTGTGCAGCTCCATCCCACAACCTCTCTACACATGGTACTCCTGTAGGCGTTGCAGTATTGCCGTGTCCTTGCTTTATAACGAGAGATGAGCTAAGGCGAGTAAATCTATGCCGGTCCCCACTTGGTGTGAATTCTTTCGCATGATGCACCTTTTAAATAGCGTCGTTCTATGGTTGTGTGATCATGCACTGAGGGGGACTAAGGCACACAAAGCTTGTGTACCCAAAACAAACTAAGTGCCATGTTTGCATCCGGTCTACCACAGTACTTTCTCTAATCCAATGGGACAAGCAGTAAGTTTCATACGGGGGGACACAGCCTCCACCCAGTCTCTTCCTCCGTCCTCAACAAAGGCAAATATCGACTGTCTGCAGACCGGGTTTGTATTGCATGTAGAATCTGCTAAAGAACACAATGTAGACAGTCGTGCATGGTCGGGGGAACAATGTCTTGGAGAGCATACGTACTCCCTCACCTTTACCGCATCATAGATAGTTCAACATCATAGGAGTACTATGCTCGCTCTTCACACCCCTATCCTGCATTAAAACAATGCGGGTGGGCCTGTGGCCCGGGGGTCTTGACCGACCCTCATGCCCGGGGGAGAGAGAGAGAGAGAGAGACGGTCCGTCCATATCTGTTTACGAGCTTCACGGGCGTAGCCTTTGGTCTGTCTCCCCCACAAGGCCTCACAACAGGGGCGCACCTTTCGGAGAGGGGAGTTTGACATGCTCCCTGATGAAGTGAAGAAGTGAAGACGGTCCGTCCGTGTTGGTATCACCTTGGTCGTTCCGTCAGCCGAATCTTCAGTTGCAGCAAAGCTGTGCGGACGCGTTCTTGGGGGAGGAATGGCACACGGTCCTCGTTTGGCAGTTCTACCACATGCAGGCTGGTCTGCCTTCTCTGAACCGAGGCTGGACCCTTCTAGACCATGCAAGCACGAAGGTGGACAGCTGCATCCGCCATGAAGATGCCAGCCGCGATCTCGAGTCTCAAAGTGTCGTCCTGCTTGTCGATGGTCCCCGGGTGCATCCAGAATGAAGTCCAGTGCATCCAGAATCCAGAAGTCTGAAACGCACACTTCTTGACAGCGATTGGTCGTGAAATTATGTGGCTTCCGATAGACAGGCAGGGTTTTTGAAGGGCAGAATTCAGACCAAGCTTGGCCAAGTAGGGTTTTTCACTTCTCCATTCCTGTCCGATTTTGGCCAAGATGCTTGCAACGCACATCGAAACCAGTGCCAATGGCCGGGTTCTCGGATCGAGACAAGAAGCAACATTGTCTCCAGCTATTCGGAACCTTAGGGCTCCAACGCGTCTCAGGTGCGGCAAGTATTGCGGCACCAACGAGATCGCATGTAACAAGAAGCTCTTCAATCAGACCTACATCAAGGTAAGCGGGTTGTTGAGCTGCGCTGCGACCTGCAGTTCAGAAGACAGCAGCTAGTTTTCTTGGGAAACTCCAGTGCGCTCGTTCATATGCCGGGTGACGAAGATTTTCCATAGTGCGTCGGCGTGGGGGTTTCTGTTCTTTCGATAATCTGCTTATGATTCAGGCTCATTGTATCTTTGCCAGGACAAAGATGAGCCAGACATCCAGGAGCGGGGGCTGTCCTGCGGTAAGTTGGTCCTGTACAGGTGAGTTTGCCTCCGATGAATGCGGAAGGGCCTTTGACAGTGTTCCGACCAAGCCACCAGCTTGAAATCCTTCTTGCAGGAAGCCTCCCGTCTTGGAGCTCTTACCCGCAGCGTGCAACTCTCTCAGGGGAACAGGCAGTCGCGGTGTCTTGTGCGGAGTTTTCACCGAAGGCCCGGGCATCAAGAGCCTCCTTAACACATCGCAGATGCTGATTTTCACGAGTCCACGATGGCAGTTGAGGTGGGACATGCCAGACAACACCTCCCAGCAGGACAGTTCATGCTTCTGCCAATGAGATGATGTGGGAGGGAGTGCAGCGAAGGCTTCTTCAGTAAGCAGTGCATGGCCATGCATACGGGATTCCCGCCAACGGCATGGAGCTTCATGCCAGCGGCCTGAGCAAGAAGAAAGCGAAGTATCCATCATGTGTCTGCCATCACTCTTCGAAGCACAGAAGACAACCAGGAAGCACCCGAGAAAGTAATCATCAGGCACTTCTCTTCCCTTTTTTTGCCCCTTAAGACAACACGAGACCTCCGACTACGAAGCCAGCACTTCGATTGAAACCTCATTGTTTGAGAAGCGCTGCAGTCAGGAGTGGAACAACCTCCCGACTGGCTCTTGGGCTTGGCCGCAGGTGTGTGCAGAACAGTGCAGTGCTACATTCCGACATGGATAGTTATGCTTCTTCCAGGTCGCAATGTATCAGATCCTTATCGATCGGTTTGCTACGACGAAGCCGAAGCACTGCGAGAAGTTGCCCTTGCCTCGTTTGTCTGGAATGCTACGGTCACATCCCCGGCGCGAAGTTGCTGCTGGCGCGGGCTTAGGAACGAGTATTGCGGTGGCAGCATCCCGGGCATCATGGACAAAGTGAGCTATCTTGAGGTGGCTGGTTGAACTGATGTACATGTCGCGTGGTCTCACCTCTTTTCTCTTGTATTCTTGCGATCTCGAGTTGCAAAGTGGACAGGAGCTGGGTGTCGACGGCATCGTCCTTTCGCCGATCGTAGACCAGGCTGCGCCTTTCTCTGCTCGACTGGAGGTCGTGTGCTCGCCTTGTGCTGTCTTCGTGACTGGCGCCTTGTGGTCAGATGCCGCACGGGTACCATGGCTACTGGACGAAAGATCTCACGAAGGTGAATCCTGCTTACGGAACCGAGGACATTTGCAGCCCGATTAGAGAGCTGCAAAGCCCTTTATGTGAAACATGTCAATGTGTACGTGGTTGCCAAACCGTTCTCAAGAGACGCTCCAAAGCTGTGGCGAGTAATGGTCTCACTAACTTTTGAAGCAGGAAGATGTGCGAGAGATGGTCATCCTGCTTCATGAGCGCAAGATGAAGGTCATCGTTGATGTGAACATGAGTCTTGGCAGCCTTTGAATTCAGACCTTGCCTTTCCTGGAATTGGATCATGCCGAGGAACCACGCCGGGTCCCAGAAGATCAACGCCAGCAATCCACGAGATGTGCATCAGGCTCAGACTCAGCAGAATGGGCCTCCCTGGTGATCTGCAGAGGGCTCGTCTAAGTCTAAGTGCCTGCCCACGACGAGCGTCAAGTCTTCAGGTCCTTGCTGAAACCCTTCGACAAGCCTGAGCACTATCACTCGGACAACTGCAGCAGAGTTCTCAGACATCCAGCAGGAGCCGTCCATGCAGCGTAGCCTCTTTCCGGTGTGTGCCGGTACTGTGAACTGATTTTGGTTTTGCCCCTGTCTGTCACAATTTCACCCGCCTGAGGCCTCATCCACGACTCCGACTACGAGCGTGGTTCTTATTTCTTGGAGCGCCCGGGGCTGAGTCACAGTTGAAAGAAAGTAGACGATTGCAATTGGGTTGCGGGCACGCGGCCGACAGCAGCCGGACATGGGCCAAGCAACAAGCAGGGAGCGACTGTCCTTGAACTTTCATGCCATTCTGTAGGGCACCTGCCCGTGAGCAGCAACCTGAACAGCTTCGGATGTGAGAAGCGCTTGACTGCATGGGTGCCGAGACTGCAAGCTCTATGGGCTGCCGGATTTCAATCACGAGAACCCCGTCGTGTGGCAGGGCTTGATGCAGTGGGTGCAGCTCAGCAGCATGTCAGTCTGTCAGTTGCTATAGTCCACCTTTTCCCTCGGCCATGTACTGCAAGAGCGGTGCAGCAGTGCAACACACAAAATACGCGACCCTAGCTTCAGTCGGTACTGTAGGCGCTTTTTCAACCCTAAACTGGCGGCACACACCTGTGAGCGATGAGGCGAGACCATGTGGACAAGTACGGGTTCGACGGTATTCGCGTGGATGCTGCAAGACACATCAACAGGACCGACGCTCCAAGAATGAGGAGGTTTCAGTTGACGCCTGCCATGAAGTCTTAAGAAGGCATGGCGGCTCGAGAAGGGTTTGTCCTTATGTCCCGACAGCAGACGCGGCTTTGACAGGAACTTCTTGAACCACATCCCGGAGACTGGTCCACCCATTCCTGCGTATTACGAGGCTTGTGGAATTGGCTGGATTTTTGCTGATGTTGGCTGTGCTTGGTTCCATGTTCGACATGGCTCTTTGTCATGGTTCCACGCGAAGTTCTGCAGATTGTGTGCAGGGTTCCATTATCCATCCTATCTCTTTCTCTTTAAATGTTTTACACGTGGTCAGCCAAAGACGTTCACGCATTACACCATTCTTTATCCAAGCACATTGCTGGATCAGTACAAGACCCGTTTTTCTAGCCACTGATACGCGCAACCGGATGAGTGTTCGGACCGTTAGTCGAGGAGCAGAGGAGGTCCAGGTTTCCAGCCGAGGATCAGGCTGTGCCAGGACGATGTCTTACATATCGGTAGTTCAGTGCAGTAGCCGCGACGATCAGACGTATACTGCGTCTTGGGATTCTTTTCGGCAGTCGCAGTGAAGGTGGTTGTCAAGTTTAGCAACCTGACCGAATGGCCTTCGGCCCATGCCAAGCGAAGTTGTGTTGTCTTGGTCGTCGGCTGCAGGTGGTGAACACGGACATGGCTTATGTTTCTGGCTATGCTACCGGGGATTACGGTGCCATCTACAACTATCCTCTGTACTTCGTGCTGAAGGACGGGATCCGTTCACTTCCGAGTGCAACTTCGATTGAACAAGTTCGAGCGGTAAGGACATCTTTGTTCCCGGACCAAAGCAGAAGCCAATGTCTGCTCTGGGTGATTGGATTGTCAAGCAGTCGCCCAAGGCCCAGGCCGGCTTGTCGCTCAACTCCAATCCATGAAGTCTACGCTATGAAAGAGTTCTCCCGACACAGAGTGTACCTACATGTCCGACCTACACAGGTACATATGTACATGTATATATGACATATACACACGCCCATGTATGCACCTATGTACGCCTGAGGCCAAAACTGTGAACGAGTTGTGCGTTACAATTCAGCGAAAGCGCGATCGGCACTCTTGCTGGAGCGGGACTTCGGGAGGCGGAATCGCACGGGACTGTGGGCCGGAGCACGGGTTTTAGCGGAAACCCGCCGCACTGGCGACAAGACGATGCCTTCGAAAGCTGGGATGTCGGGGCACAACAGGAGGCCACCAGCAGCCGACTGGGGTGGAAGTATAGACTTTAGACTTGAGCGGCATCAGGGACGTCGAGCATGGGAATGTGGTGGGAGCACAATTTCGACCCCTTTGGACACGCCAACATCTGCAATGCAACGCAGCACGAGTTTGATGTACCAAGCTCGGAAGCACCAAAGCACTGGATTTGATAATGAATTCGGCCCAAGCAGTGCTGTGGAACGAAGGGCTGTACACCGTGGGCCGCCAGAATGTAGGAACCCCGTGCCATAGTCTTGCCACGCTATTTAGGGATTTCGGAATACTCTTGACCCTTGACCGTGTTACTCGGTGACCATTTGAATAGATGAGATAAAAAGGCAATCATTTTGGCTTACGACACGGTCGTCAATTCAAAAGCACGTGTAACAGCATGAGACCTTGCACCAAGGATACATCTGATTAAATCTGAGAGACGGTTAGACTTGTTCAAACTGACAGTTGTCAGTAGCTGCAAGAGATGGTGCGCAAGTTGCTTTCAACTTCTTATTGTATGGAGGAGTTCGCAGATCGGCGAAGACTCAGCATGTTATCCCCATGTTCACCTTAAGAGTAACAACTGAATGACGAGTCCTCAGATCATGATAAAATAACCGACAACAAGAGGTGATATCATGCTTTCTGGTAACAAGAAACCGAAGCACTGATAGCCCTAGCAATGTCATGCAACTTATGTTGCTGCGGCATGCATGATACAGAAAGCTTATGGTGCAGAGCAGGGAGTTTTCTCCGCAGGGCCGACTGATGCTGAACTTCCTGGACAACAATGACCTGTCCCTATCTCGGCTCTCGGACCGGCTCAATCGCACCAGCAGTCAGATTAATTATGCTCGACCCTAAACCCTAAACCCTACATCCTCCTTGCTGTCGATGTCGGCAATTGCGTAGCTATGCTAAGCTTTTGGGCACGGGTGTATCGCCGCGGCTCAACACCCTCCCTAAGCCATTCGATAACTATCTACAAAGCTTCTGAAATGTTCGCAGTCACATAGTCCCTCGTAACATCTTATGCTTTAAAGCATTCAGTCAGACTGGGAGAGGGAGCCCGAGCGGAGAAGCCTTCTGTCAGCCGCGCTAGCAGTTGAAACAACACTTTGACCTCGGCCCACGTGTGTCGACATATGTGCACGCACCCGCTCAGCAGTAGAGACAGGTGTGTTATGCACACATGATAGCCCAACCATTTGCCCGTATCGTTTGTGTTTGAGGCCTCGCTTTTTGTACCGGATTGGCGAGGGTGGCGGCGTGGCCGAGGCAACCATGGTGGCGCAGGGGGCTTGGAGATGTTGCAAGAAGACAGTAGTAGCACGGTCATCAGCATCGCAAACACGAATTTCCTCCCTCAGACATTCAGTCGCTGCATGCTAAGGCTGTACCACAACGCTTTGCTGGCAGTTCTCAGCTGAGTTTTGCGGCGCATGTGCATGCCTTTTTTGATGACACGGTTGATGCTTGGCAACAAGCTAGTTGAGACATGATGTACTGTGGTGGTGAACATCTTTCAGAGCTTGCTTCTCTAAACGAGAAGCGACCACCAAGATGATGGGAATGGAGGGCTTGCCAGCGATTCTCTTCGGCTCGGAGCAGAATGCTCGCGGTCGCCGGGGTCTCGGGATCTACCAGTCCTGGCACGACGTCGTTTCAGCATGAAGCTATGCAATCTAGCGGCGCAAGTTAACACTTCGGCGACGTTTTTTGCGTGTATGCTTAGATGCGAGAGTGTGCAGGTATTTCGCTGTGCTTCATATTCTTGTAGGTGTACTGTTGTTAGCTAAAGCTGGCATCAGTTTGTGTGGCTGTTCATGTGAGCAGTGCAGATGCCCGAGGTCTCAATTATTCAGATCCGCTGAAGGTGGCGTAAGCAATAGCCCATGTGCGAGATCTGCTTTGATGTGGATGAGACAACTTGAATGATTGAGACTTGTCTTTCCGGAAGGTGGACAACTGGAGGCAGCCCTTGTGGCATCACGGCAGGACTCCTGGTTGTGCCGTCTGAGCGCCCTGCATCCAACCCCAACCCCAGCAGAAGGCTTGCAGTCACGGTGATAGGAGAAAGAAGCTTCGCCATGGAGTAGAAGCGTGACGGGACAAAGTGCGTGTATCGAACAGCAATGTGAGGCTACAACACGTCAACGTCGACCTACCAGCTCATCAAGAAGGCAGCTGGAAGTGGTCGCTGCATGTCGAGTTGGAGAGTCATGTTTTTGACACCTCGGAGGTGCTGTGGGTCCGGCAGCGCACGAATGGACTGCATGCCTTCAAGTCCATTCCTGTGTACATGGACCACCAGGCCGGAGACTCTGGCTCTACAGCTCTGCATGCATAGCTGCATCGCTCACATCTCCGTTTCCGTGCAGGTCTTGGTGTGGGCTCGGGGTCCGGCCATTTTTGTTCACGGCTTATCTCCGACGGTCTGGACACACGCGAGAATGAATTTCTCTGTCTCAGGCCGTGAGCAACGCAGGACAGCCGAGCAAGATCCCCTCGCAACGCGTCCTTTGGGACAATGCGACGGCCGGGCTGGGCCCCTACGGGTGCTGGCCTCGGTTGTGGCCGTGTTGGGACGACGACGACAACTGCAACATCTCAGAGGGATCATCGCGAGTAAAACTGTCACACCGTACGGGATGAATTGCACCCGCCTTCGTGGTGCCGCCTTTCCAGCTGCCCAGGACACCATCCCTCGTGTGCAACATCCTGGATGAGTATCCCCTCAAGGTGTGAAGCTTAGCAGGAGGGCGGGGAGGACTATCGCCCCTGCTACGCACATCTCCTGCGAGGACTGCGGTGTGCTGGTTCCGGGCAACATCTCTAGGCTGCATCTCACATCTGATCCAAAGCTCTATGCCTCGGCCTTAGATCTGGCGTCGTCCGGCAACAGAGGGCAAGGCATGTTGCAGACAACACGAGCATGGAACTGCTGGCGTCCAGTCATGGGAACATGGGTGGCTTCAGAAATTCGCTGGCAGGTGCCAAAAGAGTACATCACTGAGTATCTATCAGTCTTGAAGATTCGCAAGAAAGAAGGCCGCTGAGCATCGTGCTGTGTTCCTTGTGCGGTGTCAAGCACTTGATCCGGCAACCAGCATTGTTACGCTGTCTAGTTCTTGCTTTTTGGAAACATCAACTCCCTGCACCGGGAGGTGACAGAGTTTCTGAAGAAACAAAGAATGATCCAGCAGTGCTGCCTTTTACTATGTGGAAGGCTGGGCTTACCGATTGTGTTTCTTGCACCATCGAACAACCGTTCATTTCCGACGGGACTTGTCTTAGCCAGGTTTTGAGCTTTGAGCAGTCACTTTGTAATTGGTGAAAGCTGTCGGTTCCTCTCACAAGACAAAGAAGTTTGGGCTTTGTGGGTAGCTGTGCCTGCAAAGCAGACTAGAGATTCATGGACACTGTTCCAACAGCATGTTCTACCACTTTTTTAAAGTCTGTTAAGCAGAAGGACTTTTCCGCACTGTCTGGATTGAGAACCCGTTGGAGTTCCTATCGACACGGCATGGCCAGGCACCATTGTCGTGACAGAAACGGCTTGCAGCCGTTACATTAGTATCATGTCATCTCAGCGCACTCCTGGTGTTGCAGTCGAACCTACATGTTCTTCGTGGATTGCGACAGGTGTGCAAGTCACAGACTACGAAACATGTCCTGATGGCGCGCTTGACAAGTCACGTCGAATGTCCCTTCCGCATCCCTGGAGGCGATGCCGGAGCCTCCCAAGATTCAGATCCAGGCCTTCTTAGATCTGCATCCTTTGGCATGTGACACGGGCTTGAGGCATATAAAGTGTTCTGTTGGACGAAGCTAATCATGGCTGCTGCGGATCAGTGAGCGGGCTTCAGGCTCAGAAGCGACTGCCACGCTCATGGAGACCTGGAACAGTGACGTTGCCAGTGCCTGAGCCTGTACGGAGCTGCGTCCGCATGCCAAGCCCCTTTGCGTCGTTGCGCCCATTGCGCAGGAACGGAAACCCGTCCTGGGTATGGCACACATTTCCCCAGCTGCCGTGTGGAGCTCGGTTGAAGCTGCCAGTTCGCTGCTTACCCCCACCTTTGCAACTGAAGTTATCGGTCTTGTCTTGGCACGTCTCAGCTTTGGCAGCACGATGCAGCACTTGTGTTTCCACACACTTGCTTTTCGTGAATGGATGTTTCCCACAGCTAGTCACAGCCTGTGCCAGTCTCTTAATGACCCCGATGTGTGCCAATGTCGTCGCCGTCGCCGGTGTCGTCGCCGTGACAGACACATCGTCGTCGTCGTCGTCCTGTCGTCATGTCGTAGTCGGGAGAGTAGAATCATCGGCAGCAGTAGGAGTAGCAGTGGCAGCAGTTGCAGCAGCAGCAGGAGCAGGAGCTGGAGCGGGAGTAGGAGCCGGAGCAGTAGTAGCAGCAGCAGCAGCAGCAGCAGCAGAGCAGCGAGTAGCAGAGCAGCGGAGGTAGCAGTTTGGCAGAGTAGCAGCGCAGCGACCAGCAGACTAGTAGAGTAGGAGGAGCAGAATTACTGTAGGAGCAGTAGCAGTAGCAGTACAGCAGCAAGTGGCAAGCAGCAAGCAGTAAGCAGTAAACAGTAAGCAGTACAAGCAGGCAGTAGGCAGCAGAGCAGCAGCGGCAGCAGCAGCAGTAGCGGCAGCAGTAGCAGCAGTGGCAGTCGCAGTAGCAGAAGCAGCAGCAGCAGCAGCAGCAGCAGCAGCAGCAGCAGCAGCAGCAGGAGTAGGAGCAGCAGCAGCAGCAGCAGCGCCAGCGGTAGCGGTAGCGGTAGCGGTAGCAGTAGCAGTAGCAGTAGCAGTAGCAGTAGCAGTAGCAGTAGCAGTAGCAGTACTCCGTACTCAGCAGCAGTAGTAATAGTAGTAGTAGGAGTAGTAGTAGTAGTAGTAGTAGTAGTAGTAGTAGTCGTAGTAGTAGCAGTGCTAGTCGTAGTAGTAGCAGTGCTAGTCGTAGTAGTAGTAGTAGTAGTAGTAGTTGTTGTTGTTGTTGTAGTTGTATTGGTAGTAGTAGTAATGGTGGTAGTAGTAGTAGTAGTAGTAGTAGTAGTACTAGTAATACTAGTAGTCGTACTAGTAGTGGCACTAGTAGTACTAGTAGTAGTGGTGGTAGTAGTAGTAGTAGTAGTAGTAGTAGTAGTAGCGGCAGTAGGAGTAGTAGTAGTAGTAGTAGTAGTAGTAGTAGTAGTAGTGGTAGTGGTAGTGGTAGTAGTATGAGTAGTCCTGGTTGTACTAGTAGTAGTACTAGTAGGAGTA